AGGGAGGAAGGGGGTGGCCAGACCTGTTAGCAGCGAAGCAGGAGGGGAAAGGAAGCTGGTGGTCGCCTTACATCCGTGCCCAGCTCCCCCCGCGAAGAACGGAGGACCCTGTGGGATTTCTGTTTCAAACTCCTCATTTATTGACATTCACTTGGTTGTGACTCCAAGTTATCAAAGACGCAGGAGAAACCCGCAGCAGGAGCAGTGGTGGAGAGAGGATGGCAGGAGGACAGGGTGTCCCAGCCTCTCCTCTTCCTGTTTAGGGTGCAGCTTGGAAAGTGTCCAGTTAGTGTCCCATCACAAAAAGTGCAGCGGAGTGGGGTGAGCCTCCTCCTGCCAGGTGAGGCCCTGGCGGCTACAGGGAGGCGGGCGGGCAATCTTGAGCCTGTGCCCGAGCAGCGTGGGGCTGCGTGTGGGAGAGCCGGCGCCCACCGTCGCTCCAATGCCCCCGACACGTTTTCATCTGTGGGTTGACAGGATTTAGGCTGGGAAGCTAAGGAGACAGGACTGCACACGATGGTTCTCACTTGGGGACCCTAATAGATCAGGGGTAAGAGGCGGGTGACCATTGACCAGGTTGTTCTGATTTTTGTGAAGGCAAGAGGTAAGATGACACTGTTTTTTGGGGGGAGAGGGGTGAGAGGGAGGGAGAGCCCTTGCTCAGGGTGATTGGCAATGGAATTCCAGGGCAGCAAGGCACTGGGCTGGTCGTCGGGATGTGGCAGGGCTACCAGGCCCAGCTACTCATGTCAAGGGGGTGCACTTGACGCGGTCAGGGCTGGCGGAGGCATGGGGGGTGTTAAAGCTGCTGTCCTAAGCTGGTCCCTCTGGTCTCATCACACCCACCTAGGGCTGCCTCCTGGTATAAGAGAAATGGTGCCATCTGAGGTCTCTCATGTGTGTTTTTCACATACAGTTCGAAATGCTTTGCCTGCTAACCCCACGCGTCCCTGCACACAGGATCAGGCAGTTGGCAAGTGTGTCCAGCGCCTGTGAGGACTGGGGCGAGAGAGTGTGGCTGGCTGGCAGACCTAGGCAGGCAGTCCTCAAAGGGCCCCTGGAGTCCATCTGGGCAAGTCTCAGTCACCTGGAGGGAATGGGGTCTCAGAGAAGATAAGTGACTGTTTCTGGAGCGAATGAGTGACCACAGGGTGGCTCGGCCGAGGTCCTCTGGTTCTCAACCCAGTGAGCCTTGCAGACGGAGATGCAGGGTGACCCGAGCCTGAACGGTGATGCAAAGGTGCGGTGAATTCTCCCCGCCTCCCCTCCCCTGGCTGCCCCCCGTCCTTTCTCAAATACAGAATCAATATTTCAGCGCAGAAGGGCCAGCTCCTTTCCTGCCCCACCCTCTGCAGCATTCAGTGAGTCTGGAGTGGGTGGGAGTTGGTTATGCCCTTCAGAGGGGGTGCAGCCACTCCTTACTGCATCGGCAACTGGAAAACTCATCAGAAGCATTCACTCCCACGGTATGAGGCCAAGGCTGAGTTAGAAGTGGGAAGTGGGAGTTGGACTCGGGCTAGAGTGAGACAGCCATGAGAAGGCCCTCTCCCGGAGACGGGGGGTTGGGCAGCAAGCAGAACCCAGCTGCTAAGTCAGATCCCTCTGGTCCTCAGGCGCTGGCCCTGGTGGAACCAGCGGTCTGGCTCTACTGGGTCGTGGCTGCATGACAGAGGAGAGGGGCGATCAGGGCGGCAGCATCCCCGGGGAGGCGCCTCGGCCTCCTCCTGTAGCAGCCACCTCACTGCTGTGGGGCCTGGTCACCTTGAGCACCCTCTGCTCATGCTGCCTGGGGGTCAGGTTTTCCCTTCTAGTTGCTACATCGAGACCCTTCCACGCTGCAGCTCCTGGAGGCAGCAAAGCCTGGTGCTGGTGGTGACAGGCGTGTGTGCACACACCAGAGAAGGCACGCGCCCCGCGGGACTGTACCCCCACACACCGCTCGCTGTGGGGGACCACGGCCCCGGAGACCGTCAGCAGGACCTCACTGGCTAAGCTACTCGAACTCTAGTGACAACTCTTGAGAAGGTTCTCAGTGAGGCAGCTGGTTCCCGAAGCACAGCGTGGATGTGGGGGGAGGCAAGGTTAGACAGTCGCTTGTAGGTGCATTCCTCACAGCAACCTGATGCCTTCAGAGCCAACTCCACGCGTCCACAAGGAAGGGTGCAGTCACAGCTGTGCTGTGGTCAGGAATCAACAGCTATATCTGAGCAGTTACAGGCTTTGCAGTCTCCGACAACCGAAAAGACAAAACTAGATGGTGAGCTGGCTTTTGGATTTGTTTTAGCAAGCAAGTCCTGAAGCGGTCCCTTTAACACCATCCCCTTCCTTCTCAAATGCTGCAGGTTTACTGTGCCCTGGCCCCCTGCCCTGTGGCCCCCTTCTCCTTTCACCCCCCAAGGATGCTGGAGGCCTCCAGACCTTTGCACAGCTTTCCTTCCTCTCACAAGACTGGCAAAGCCGGGGGTGTGGGTGGGGAAGGAGAGGGCCTGGGGGTGCTGGAGTTGGCCCCAGGAAGGAGGAATGTCCCAACAGAGAACCCGGCACAGCTGCCATCCAAGCACCCCATGGCTTCAATCCTGGGGAGCCTCCCACTGCGAGGCAAGAAAAGCCAAGCAAACGGAGACAGTCCTGTGGGGTGTTGGGAGGCAGCCGCGGGCCCAGTGTCCCTGACGGAGCGGCGTGTGGGTGAGTGTGGGGGTTCGGGGTGAGAGGGGTTACACGTCTGTACTGATAGCCCTTGGATTAGTGAAAGCCTCGCGCGCAGAGCCTGGCCACGTCACCGGGTAACCCTGGGGTGCTGCCAGCTGGAAGGATGGGAGGCCCCCCTCCTTGTAGTATGTGGGAGCGAAGGAGAACCTCTCGCTTCCGCCCCCATTGGGCACCAAGTCCGCTGTCCGTATGTAAAAGGGGGAGCTGTATGGGGAGCAGGTGGCGCAGTGGCCGGCTGCCACCCCACATGGCTGGCCGCAGGGCTCACTGGTGATGGGCGCCAGGCTGCCTCTGCCGTCCAGGGCTTGGGCGCTGCAGGCATTGCAGGGGGGCCTTCTGGAGGGGGTGGGCAGGTCGTGCTCCTCCTCCTCCTCCTCTGCATCCTCCTCTCCGCTCTTCTTGCAGCAGTAATACTGAGGGGAGAGGCGGAGGGCCCCTCTGAGTGGCACAGGCAACCACGCCCCTGCTCCACTGTTGATCAACTCAACCCCAGAGACCACGTTCCACAGGTATAGAGTCCCAGCCTTGCAAAACTTTCCCTTTCCCTCCCCTGCTCCTGGTGTATTAACTCCAGGCCGTGGCTGGGGAGGCAGGGAGGCAGAGGGAGGGACATAGAGTCATACTGAGGACAGGGCTGGGGGCCGCTGGGAGCAGCTGTCAGAGTCCCCCCAGATGGCGCCCTTCCCCCCACTCCTGACTCTCAGCCCCCCAGCCCGGGGAGACATAGCACAGTGAGCTCTCTGGGTGCTGCCTTCTGACCGCCCTCCAACTCCCAGGCCCCTTGACTTGTACTTCCCACAGCTCACAGCTCTGGGCCTTGTCACCCGGAAGTGGGCTCCAGGGTCGGCTCCCATAATGGGAAGTGGTTTGCTGGTGGCTCCTGGCCACGGCCCGGAACTGACCTGGAGCCTACAGTAGCACAGGACTGCGATGATGGAGAGGAGGATGACCGCAGCTAGGATTCCGCCAGTGATCACAACTGTTCCCGCTGTCATCCGCCCGATGCCCCATCCAACTCTGCAGAGAGATGCGTGGAGGTGAGGGCAGCCGCCATGAGCAGGGAGCCCTCCTGGAACTTCCTGCACAGCTGGAGCCAGGGAGGCCCCTCCATGCACCCCCACTACCCCGCTTCCCTGGGCCCAGGGACACCTGGGGCTTCCTGGCGACAGGGGCGACAGCCTTGCACTGGCTAGGGAGGATAGAGAGGAGGCCGAATGCTAACTGAGGCATAATTCTGCTTCCTGTTTCTACCCAGTTTCAACCTCCTTTAATTCTCTTTTCCATCTCCTGTCTCCTGTCCCCACACCCTCTTAAACTATACCCCTTCCCCCCACCGTGTGGCTCCAAGACACAAAGGAAAATAGCTTCTGTTTTCAATGCTCTAGGCCAGTGGTTCTCAACCTTGGCTGCACATTAGAATCACCTGGGAATCTTTTTAAATCCTGATATTTGGGCCTCATCTTCCAGAAATTCTGTTTCTTTGTTATGGGGTGGGGCCACAACATTAGTAACAAAGAAACAGAATTTCCAGAGGATGAGGCCCAGAAATCAGGATTTTAAAAAGATTCCCAGGTGATTCTAATGTGCAGCCAAGGTTGAGAACCACTGGTCTAAGCACACCCCTGGTTATCTCAGTTAATCCTCCACATAATCTTTGGGCTAGTTCTTTTTTTTGTTTTTTGTTTTGTTCCACTGATTTTTAGGGAGAGTGGAAGAGAGAAGGAAAGACAGAGAGGAACTTCAATGTGAGAGAAACACATTGTTTGGCTGCCTCCTGCGTGCCCCGACCAGGGCCCAGCCCAGGGAGGAGCCACAACTAAGGTACGTGCCCTTGATCAGAACGGAACCCATAGGCCACGCTCTATCCACTGAGCCAAACCGGCTAGGGCTAGGCTGGTTCTTAATGATCTCTATTTCACAGGCGATGAACGAGGCTTTGATTGATTTAGCTGAGATCCCACCCAGCCTGGTTCACCCCAATGGCTATTCTCTCAACCACTGCCCTCCGGAGTCGAGACACCAGTGGTCTCTGAGCCCTTGATCCAGGTGGAGAAGACAGGGTCTGAATCTCTAAAATTCTCCCCAATTCTGCCCTGGCTCAAACCCACATTCCTTTTGGGGGGAATCTCTCCTCCCTTTCCAACTCTGTGGAAGAAAACAAGGGCGAGGTAAGCCTAGAGGAAGCAGGTAGGCGGCCTTCTGGCTCCGGGAGGGTTGTGGCAAGGCTGGGGAGACGGTCCTGGCTAATGTGGGTTCACGGGACAGAGGCCAGCTCCATGCAAGGCTGTCTGGCCTCAGGCCGACTCCCCTTGCAGGGATTTCCAAGTGTCCCGGCTTCATGGGGACAAGGATGGTTGTGCCAACAGAGCAGGAGGGTGGAAGAATGACCGGGAGCACTTACGTTCAGTCAGGGAACGGTGACCTGCAAGACAATAAAAGGGACAGAGATGTTGGAAGAAGAGTGTTACCCCGAAAAAGGCCCCACAGGTTAGCTTGGTCCCTGAGCTCCACCTCATCTCCTCCTCTCCCCTCACTGTGTGCTCTATCGTCAGGACGCCTACAGATTCCAAGCCTGGGTCTCCAGCTCTGTCTCCAACTGCTGGTGGACAGACATCTCGCTCGGATGTCCCACTGGCAGCTCGAACTCAGGCTAAGTCATCACCCGCTCTCCCCATGGAACCCTCTCCGACCTCTGTCAGTGGTTCCACCGAGCTGCTATGGAGGCCCTTGCAGGTTGTTTGTGACTCAAAGCGCACGTGGGGCGGGCGGGGGGGGG